AATAAATAATAAAATAAAAATTTAAAAAGTCAAAGAACAAATTTGATAATAACACCAGTGTTACCAACATGAAGCAGCAGTCCAGCACTAGGCTCGGTCTGCACTAGGAAAACATGGCAAAATGTTCCCTCTTTTTACACCACTGGCTCAGCTAAACCAGTTGCAGAGAAGGCCGGCACCTCTCATGTAGATCTGCTACCAGCTGCTGCAGGAATTTTAAGCACCGTGTCTGCGAGACATGCCCTGAAGTTAGATGCAAAGAGCAGATAGCAGTGCCAGCCGGTGGCCCATTTATTCTTGGGCTCCCCATATAGTTTACTACTGATGCAGCTGAAAAGTGGTGGCAAAGTCGGGAAGCATTTGCAAAGTTTCGCTAGTGTAGATAGGCCCTTAGTGTTTGGAACATAACAAGCAGCAGTTTGATGAACCAAAAATATTTTTCTCTGCTTCTCTCTGTTGTTTTCCCCATTTGGTCCCTTTGAGGTTTTTGGTTTTTGTTTGGTTTTTTTTTTTTTTTTTCTGAAGATGTCTAACTCACATTGTGCTGCTCACTGGAGGTCATGTGTGTCCTTTGTACGATGAATCTGGTCATTATCTCAATCAAGTTTCTCACTGTGACTGCAAGAACAAAAGATCTACTGCAGGGGAATCTGACCAGAGGACAATTTTATATTAAGGGAAAGGCAAAGGGTCATTGGAAGAAGAAAGAAAAAAAAAACAAAACCCAAACAAACAAAAAAAGGAGATATACTGAATGCCCACTCAATGTGCTTTGGGGGTATGCAAGTTGCCGATTTGTTTACTCTGAACATTGTATCTGACTGATGCAATGAGGAACAACAAAGAATAAATGAATGCAGCATACATCTCCAGCAAATTTTATAACAGTGAATGCAGGGCTAGAAGTTCTCTTGCAGCTGGTGAAAGATGAAAACTGCCACTAAAACAGCAATCAAGGTCCTCTGTCAAACATGGGCTAAGAAGTAGTTCATCAAGGAGATCAAGTTATGCATCCTGCCAATGTTACTCGTTTTCTCTAGTATACGACTTCAAGCGTCTGTCACACGTTTGTCTCCTGTAGAACCTGTTTATGCAGCATCTAGCATTACTTCCATGCACTGAAAGACCAGTTTCATTTCCAAAGGCATTTCCTTCCTTCTTTTCACTTCTGTCATTTCAGGAAGCGATGACGACGCACAGAAATTCCTAAATTTACTACAGGCAACTCATGTGATTAAGCACAAAACACAGAAGACATTTAAAGGTAGATCCTGAAGTGGAAAAATGAGATAATCCTCTTCAGAGCAGAGCAAGCATTTGGGGAAAAGATGAAGCAGCTGTTCTGACTCTCACCTACTTTGGCCAGCTAAAAAAAAAAATGGTCAGACAAAAACAAAAGTTCTTGAGACACTGATGAATGAGAAATTACTGTTAAGCATTCAGCTTTAGCAGACTTCAGAGTACTGAGCTTTGAAGAAGGACCTGACATAGGACAGTACTTCAGTTTTACCTAGTCTCTATCCACACCGTGACTGCCACGGAACTAACAGATGAAACAACACTGCCAAAGGGAACTGTAGCAGGCGTCTAAAAGTTCAGCCTTAAGCATTCACCTTAATACTCAATACTAAATCCAAATCCTTTAGGCCAGGACTTGAGATCATTCAAACAACACTTCCAACACATCTCAAGAGACAGGAAAGAGACCTTCTGCTTTGAACAGAGCTTTTCCTTAAAACAGGCCTTTACCTCAATCCTGTGCATTATTTTAGTTTATTTTGAGGAGTTTTCACAGTGCAGTTAGCTATGCAGGCATTTCCAACACAGCCTGTTCTTTGCTCAACTATTGTTAAAAGAACAACTATTACCCTGCATATATACCAAAATGAAATTTTCAGCGCGTCAGAATGGATCTAAAATGCAAACTACTTTTCACCAGAACACAGAAAGGCTCTTTTGCACTGAGGTGTCAAACCATGCCTGTTCCCTGCTCCCTGGTGCACATCCACACTAGAGAGCACATGAATTTTGACTCATCACAGTGGAAGGAGAGGAGTTTCTCTCCTTTCACACATGGTAAGCAAACACAGCTTGGACACTTTGTAACCCCATCCCAACCCCTCAAAACCAAATAAAAGTAAGTCTGGTTTTGGGCAGATACCAAGCCAGAGAAACTGCGGCCCAGAACACAAAAGCTTTGGAAAATTTTAAGTGCAAAAGGAGGACTAAACTGAAGCACTTAGGCAATCATTAACACAGTGGACAGACACTGTTGCTACCAGTACGTCACAGCTATGCCTTCCTGCAGAAGTGCAAGACATCAAGCTGCTCTAAGCTAGGAAGCAATGACATGCTAGCCATCCTACTGCTTAAGAATTAGGCTGTAATGAGAGACCTGTCAATAAAAAGATACCACGCGCACCTAGAAGGGTGTAAAAGGAAACTACAACAGGAAAAAAGTTGTACATAGTACTTTCACAAAGAAAGAGCATTACCGTTTCCCTTCACAGCATTTGCAAAGAAAACTCGCACATAGCCAAGTGGTGCTATATTACTCTCCAGAATTGCAAAGAGGTATGACTGCAAATTTGGAAAGGACTGAGACAGCTGAGGGTGGAAAGTGATAGCATGCAAACTTCTGGTTTGAAGATCAAAGCTGCCTTTAAATTATGATTATGCAGAAAACCTATAAAATCTCATTTTTAAAAAAGCAAAGTTGTAACTTAATTGGGCAATAACTTCCTAGGGTGTTGAAACCTTCCTATCCAAACTAGCATTTTCTGCCAATAAAATTGCAACAGTTTCTTAAAAAAAAAGGGGGTTTATATTGGAAGTGTTGACACATTATTAACTAGAGTAGTAACTATGGATGTTAAGCCAATGTATTTGGCTCGGGTAAGGGCCTGCTAGTTAAGCATCAATTGTATTTTATTTTAATCAAATAAAGTTGAAACACAATGACCAGTATCAGTAGGAAAGAAAGAAAGAGAGAAAGAAAGAGAGAAAGAAAGAGAGAAAGAAAGAGAGAAAGAAAGAGAGAAAGAAAGAGAGAAAGAAAGAGAGAAAGAAAGAGAGAAAGAAAGGTTTAAAGTATCTCATGCCTATGAAATATTCCTAGGCTTACTTCAGGATATGAAATCTGTCAACAAAATCAGTTAGAACAGTTGATTAATACTGACACTGAACAATAGGTCATATTGACAGTATCATAACAGATTCTGTATCCTTGATTTTATTCTACGAAAGCTTTTTAGGACTCTTAAGTACTGTTAATCAAAGAACTTTTTCCTACTCCACTGTAAGCCTTCTTACCTGCCGCTACAGCTCTGAAGAGCTTCTTGTCCAAAATTCCCCCCAGTCCTCCTTTAAGGAAACTTTCACAAACCATTTTTCCAACTGACTTCCAGCCCAGGGGCTTCATGCCCCTTTACTTGTAATTTGTCCCCATTTTCTTGGTCTTTGTTCATTTGGTTATTTGTGGCAAAGACATTCAAATTATCAGTTGTGCACTATATAACTTAAACATGCTCTTTGCTCCTCTTCAGTCATCTCTCAATATGAACTTCTCTTTAAGGTATGTCCAGAACACAAACATAAATATCTTCTTTTATTAAACCTGTCATCTGAATAACAGTAATGAACGTGTTGAGAAAGAAAGAAAAAAAAAAAAAAAAAAAGAGGCAGAAAAGAGTTTAGCATCTTAGTTTTTATTTACCTTCATATTCTGCTTTCTTTGTTGCTTCCAAGTTTCTCCATTCAGTTCCTACAAGCCTGCTGAGCTCTCCAAAGGAGTAGTCTGGGTGCTGAGCTTTAATCACAGCTCTCATCTCACTGCTAAATAAGATGTACCCACTCATGTTGATCTTCCTTTTTGATCCCTCCTTCTTGGTGCTGCCCTTAACAGACTTGGGAGTGGACTGTGAGAAAAGGCAGTTATGACCACAAGTGTACAAAAGAGAAGCTTCTTGACATACAACATTCAAAGCTGTAAGAAACAGTATTTTAAAATATTCCTGCATTTCTCTTGAACATATTTGCACAAGGGCTGTCCAACCTTACAGCCCCTGAAGAGAGACTGCATCTATTGATGCATGACAAGAGCATATGCACACACTTATGAAAAGTACACAGGAAAAAAAAAAACAAAACAAAACACCAAACCCCAACCGACCAAATAAACAAAAAAACCCCACACAAATCACAATGTTTTGATGCTTTTCAACCCTTCCAGACATAATGGCACTTTTATAACTGAGGCTTCAAAAAATTGTCAGTAAGACAACACAGAACGCTTACTATTAGCTAAAATCATTCCAAACTGAACCAGAGGACTAAGAAAGGCTGAGTAGCATATAAGTGACTATTTGGAAGGCCAGAAGAGAATAAAAGTAATTATGTTATGTCACAGTTTTCATCCACTATGCTGTTCAGAAATATTGCCAAGACAAGTTGAGTAGAACATTTTATTTGCCATTGCACATTTTAGGGAAATGCTTCCCCCTTTCCTCCTGGGCCTTTGCAACCCCTACCCTCCCTGGCTCCATCTTCCACTTTTCTCATCCCTAAATACTCTCTATTTTGCCTGCCAGACTTTGCTTTCTCTCTAGTGTTCACCTCCTGTTACATAAATAGCCATTTCTCCCTGAAAAACTCAAATCCCAGTTTTGCTGATCACTATTTACCTGCATAACAGGTTCACATCACATTCTATATGTTGATGGGTAACATAAATTCTGCTCCTTTGCTTTTCCCCACCAGGGATGTTCCTGTTGAGAGCTCCTGGATGTTTCCAGCCATCAAAAAATGTAACCTATTCTGACAACCACTGAGATACCACAGCTGGACCCTCTCTTTTTGAAGGCTCTTTCCACCTCTATTTGTTACAGGAGACCATAATTCACCCATACTCTGATCAGTAAGGCCCACAAATGTGTCATCATACCAAAACCCTCAAAAGGCCCTTCTCATATCCCAAATGTTACAAATGTCTTATATCTTGAAAAATGTAATTGTTTCCAAATACCTGGCAGGAAAAAAAACAGGAAAGAAAAATATAGGCAACTGTTTTCTTCTTATCTGGAAATTCTGGCCACGTTACTAACTCCTTCTACTTGCCACTTTGAGCCCTGCAGTTCAACACTTTCCTCTCAGCTAAAAGCAAAGCTTCAGAGATACCAAGATGCTTAAAAAGTCTTGCTCATCAATTTAAGCCAGGCACTGGATAAACTAAGGCATACTTGTATGTTATTCCAAACCTCACTGTATGAATTTTCAAATGGCAATCCACCCTTAATGTTTTCATCGTGAATCTAAAGACAACACTTGTCTTTTTGGGAGGAAGTCTTCTGGATTTGTCTCTAAGATGCAGCAAGTGAAGAAAACTCTACACAGGTTCTGGGATGACACACAGGGCACGTACAAGTCATCCTGGCTTCTCAGGCAAACCCACATTGCCAGATGGAGAGTACTCAATTCAGAAACAGGAAAATCTAATGATATATTTGGCCTCTCATATATCTGCACTTAGCTACAAGTTTATCAGCTGGTTTTGCCTTTATAATGCTTGCAACAGTTTCGGTAACAGTAATCTAATGTAAAAGCCTACCCATCAGTTTGGAAGGGCAAACAGGACTTTGAAAAACTGTAAGAATTCTGAATTTGGTTTCTTGTATTTCCCATTCTTTTACATCTCCAATACAAGCATTTTTAAATGAACAGAATCTTTTCCATTTGAGTCAGATAACCGAATATTCGGTTTTAGATGTGTTAAGAGAAGAAATAAACGAGGACACCCTTTTATGCTTTTTCTCAGCCATATTGCTAAAGCAGAAAATGAAGTTGCATATTTTTTCTTTTTTTTTTTTTTTTTTAGGTTTGACTTGTTTCACAGCAAACTGCAGCAGGAAAGCATCATCCACCTCTTTGTCAAGCCCCACAATACCATGTGTTCACTTATCTTGACTCGTTTTATCCTTAGGTGTAGTAAGAGCTTCTTTGTTACCAGGAGAAAAAAAAAGTTTAAAAGTTCTGGGGTTTAACAGTTGTTAAATAAAATTCCATACATTTAAGAGAACATGAAGCAAAACACATACCTCTTCCTAGGAGCTTTGTTTAGAAAGACACTTTCTACTAGGGACATAAATAGAAAAGATTATCTGAAGAAGAAAGTCTATTTCTGTGCTATATGTTGGTTATTTCTCCACCAGAGATAAATTGTGCTCTGAATGCCAGCTCAGACACAACATAGCTTTTCTTTCCAAATCAGCAGTATGAGTAATCTGCCAGGGCACTTGTGTATCATCATTCACTTCTTAGCATGCATTGCTATTGATGCTTTTCAGTTTTCCTTATTTGTTGTTTTTTTGTTTGTTTTGGTGGTTTGTTCGGTGTGGGGTTTTTTGGTTTTGTGGTTTTTTTTGTCGGTTTTTTTTTTGTTTTGTTTTGGGTTTTTTTTCACTTCAAGTTCCAGACTTAAGAGTTCACATCTATCTAAAGGTATACACGCATGTTGGATGTATCCATTGAACCTGAGTTCCCACCAGTTATCCTGACAGCCCTGCAAGACTGTCCCATTACAAATAATTAAAAAAAAAATAATGCAACTATCAACCTGGCTTTTTGAAGAGATATTATATGTTAGTATTTAAATAAAACTTCAAGGGAACCTGAGCATAACACAGCTATGTAGAAAGACAGAAAGCAAAGGGGATCCAAAGACCGCGAATGCTGCAGAAGGCAGTTTGAGGACATCTTTAATGTCCAATGATCCCTATTTAAACTGCTTTCGGCAGCTGCCATGCTTAACAACGCCAATATTTTGATCTATAAAAAGTTACCTTACCCTTCCTAAAGTGTTACATTAACTGGTTAATGCTGGTAACATGCTTTCTATTTGCAATACTCTGCAAGAGTTTTCATGCTACTTATGACATTCAGTACATTAAAACAAGAGCAGTGAGACAATCTTGCACAGGAAAATGCACTTGGTGGTCTGCCCACATGGCAAAAATCACAATCAAACCAAGCTGAAGTGTTCAATTTCATCAACTCTTTTTCATGAGATCCAAAGACAGTTATTTCTATCCAGGGGTCACATCCTTTCCTCAACTACCAAGGAGGTTGTCACTTCACAGTCAATGTAATGCAGCAGAAATCCATATTGCTGGTTACAAAAATGTCTGAAATGCCCTCCCGTTCCCAGCGGATCATTTCCATTGCCTCTTTAATGCTGGCATTAGCTTGGATGTGGCAATGTGATGAGAAAGATAATGGGTTTAATCTACCTGCAAACAAACTTTTTTGGTTAGGTTAATTTCTAGGTAAAGCAGTTCCTCGCCCTGCTTCAATACTCAGTTACATAGATACCAGGGCTTGTGTAAGAAACACAGCAAGACAGGGAAGGGGATCACAAGTGCCCCATTTAAGCAGCAGCAATGACTCATGCTGCATTCAAGCAGCATAAAACCACACACGATTCCACTTTTATTTCCTATCCATTTATCAGCAAATTAATACTAAAGCTTCTAGGACATCCAGTTCTAACTTTTTTAACAAGTTCTTAATTCCAAGTGAGAATGGTAACAATACTAAAAAAGTGATTTTTTTTTTTTCCTTTGAGGATGATGCACAGCATTTTCAAAAAATGTAGCAAAACCACAACACCCAAAATGTTAGCTTTTTTCAAAATTTAAGGAAAAGCTTAAAAATGGACATTAGGTAAACTGAGAATTACAATTAAACTCTTACATCCCAACTTTACATTTAAGATATTTCTGAACAAGTGTCACAGAAAAACCTACTAATTAGAAATAACATTAACATATCATACAAAAATGCGCCGTAGATTTTCCTTAACTGAATGATTTCCTTTAAAAATATTCTAATGGACTTAAATATTTATCACCTGGATATCATATTGGATATGCCAAAACTGTTCTGTGTAATTTATTCCATAGACTCGTAAACTGAAGTATAAATCTCTTCTGTTTATATGATAAAAATGTTACTGTTTCTTTGTTTATTTGGGTTGGAGAAAGAATGCAAAATATAAAGGTTTAAAAGTTTCTCAAAGAAGATCCTTACCTGTGGTGGAGTATAAGGCATTATATCCAATTCACTAGCTAGTGGGGTCTGAAGCTGAGGCATAGAAGGTGTTTCAGTCATATCACCTTCCTCTTCTCCCATTTCTTCTATGTCCTCATCACCTCCTTCCAACTCAGCAAATTTTGCTTCTAGCTGCTGAATCTTCTTTTCCAGTAGTGGAGATGGTTCCTTCTGAGGAACTATGGGTTTTCTGAAAGGTGGAAGACAAAAAGCAGATGAAAATATACTCATACTTTACAGGAGACAGCATATATTTTTGAAGAGAAAACCAACTTTTCTTCCTTTATCACTAAAAAACATGGAAACAATGGTGACTCAGGATGTGCCTGTGCTTCCTCTCATAACATTAAGCAGAAATCATTCAGTGTCTATGGACAGTGTTTCCTTTCAGTCACTTGTTTGAAGGATTTTTTTTTTTTTTTAAATGAGTCAGAAGGGGATTTCAATGCAGCAAATACTTCGTTTCTGCAATAGAAGGCAGTTAACACCACATCGCCCTTAGATTTTACATTTTACTTAAGTTAGAACTTAATGGTTTTATTAATATCAATGTTCACCAACTGGAAAGCTATTTGTTACCGATAACAAGGACTTAAGTATGTTAATGACATCCAAGAGAATTTACCAATCTGATAATGTAACAACTTTTACTAAAGTCAGGAGAAGGAAAAGAAAACATCCAATGGTATTAAGACCAGGAAAAGGCTAATGTTATCTGGACTTTTTCCAAAAGTGTGATTAGTCAAAATTCATCTTCTCCTACAACTATGACTGTTATATACATACTGGGTCTGGCTGGGATGGAGTTAATTTTCTGCATAGTAGCCCATATAGTGCTGTGTTTTGGATTTGCGACCACAACAGTGTTGATAACACATCAATGTTGCAGTTATTGCTGAACAATGTTGGCACACCGACAAAGCCTTTTCTTTTTCCCATTCTGCCCCACCGGCAAGTAGGCCTGGGTGGGCAAGAAGCTGGGAGGGGAGACAACCAGGACAGCTAACCCAAACTGACTAAAGGGATATTCCACACCATATGACATCGTGCTCAGCAATAAAAGCTGGGGGCAAGGAGGAGGAAGAGGGGACGTTCAGGGTTATGGTGTCTGTCTTTCCAAGTAACCATTACGCGTGCTGAGGCCCTGCTTTCTACGAAATGGCTAAACATCTGCCTGCTAATGGGAAGTAGTGAATGAATTCCTTATTTTGCTTTGTTTGTGTGTGCGGCTTTGCTTCACTTATTAAACTGTCTTAATCTTGACCCAGGAGTTTTTCTTCCTTTTGCCTTTCTGATCCTCTCCCCCATCCCCCTGCAGGGGAGTGCATGAGTGGCTGGGTGGGGGCTCAGCTGCCGACCAGGCTCAGTCCACCACAACACAGAAGAGTGCTCAGATGACCCCCACATTCCCATCACATTTTTACCTAAAATAGTATATTTCATCATCTACAACTTTTGCAGAGAGTGAAAACCTCTTCAGCCCTTTAAATTTCTTCATTTGTTTGTCACTTTCATTGTAGCGGCTCTCACAAAGAAAAACATCATTTTCAGAGATTTCTGTTGGTCTGCAGGAGAGGAAGTCTTTGAATGACAGAACTGCACACTTTCCTGCAGAAATGAAAGAGCTGGGTAAGAAGGCAGCCACACTTGCAGACATTTTACAAAGAAACTCAAGTTTTTGCCAGTCTCATTAAGTCTGGAAGATTCCCAGTATTTGGTGCAACTACGGAAAATACACCAATTGATATCCCTATTAAATAATGCCACTCACGAGAAACCTACACGAACTTAATGCAGTTTTGGGATTTTTTTAAAGAATAAGAAAACTTGCAAAATAACAAAAGCCCACAATCACTAGTCAGTTAATTATATTTAGCAAAGCATCATAAATACAAAACGAGTATATAGTCATAATCTTATGCAACAACCCAAATTTCAGCCTCCTTCTGGACTGACTTTCCAGGTAGCACATACTGGAATAACTACATTAATAAGCGAGAATAATGGAGTTTACTGTTCTCTGGCTGCAGACAACGTTCACTTTGATATCATACATGCAATTCCCTTATTGTAAGAAAGCTTCCTTATAGTGAAAAGTCTCCCTACAGGTCCCAAAGACAGGAATGCATATTAAAAATTGACTAAATAGTCTCCCCTCCCCCACTCAATATGAAAAAAACATATTTGGAATCACACCTACACATAGCTTTAAATCACTTCAGATTGTATAGGAAAAGAAAGAGAGTGTCCATTGGATTTAAAGTTGTTAATAATTACCCAAAATACAAGTCATTGGACAGGTCTCCTCCAAGTTGCTCAAAAACACTTCCTTCTTGTAGAACATTTTAGTTGGTTCATGTTCAGTTTCTTCAGGATGTATAAAGATTGGACCAAAGAAATATGCAGCTCCATCTCGCACCCACATCTTTTCAATTCTGGAAGGAAAACCAAACCACTGACATAAATGAAAGGCCATCCCTCCTAAATGAGACAGCTATATGCACTAGGTTGTTCAGGAAGACTGTCAGTAAAAATCGAGTACAGAAGAACAGCCTATTCCAACTGTATAATGGTATCACTTTTTTATTAGACGGCTAAACTTCTACCTCAATCTATTAAGAGCTTGCAACACTTAGCTTAATTCAGAAGATTTTTTTCCCATCCTCTTTTATACTTTTTGCAACAAGCCCTTCTTTTGACCACGTTATTTTTATAGACACAAACTGCAAATAAAGAAGTTGCACCTACCTTCCTACCCGAGGTCGCACTAACCCATGTGATTTTATGAAGACACAGTCCCCAACCTTAAGCCACATATCATTGTAGCAGAGCTGTTCAAAGTAATGGCAACCAGGTTCTCCATTGGACATTTCTACCGGAACATCTTCTTTGTCCTGCAGAAGAATACGCATTTAGAAACTTGTGGAAGAAGGAAAACCAAACACATAAATAAGATGATGCCAGGTGCAAGTAAAAGACTTTGCTCTATCTTTACGTTACCAGTACCAGGTAAACACTAAACAGAGCTGTACATGCAAAAGTGAGGGGCCTTGAAATTGAAAAATGAAACAGCAAAGCTAAAGATACCCTCCATGTACGTCTCAGGCTTTCTTATTTCACAAATCTGTAATTTTGCCAGAACAGTAATTTACAGGTCCTTTTTTGTTCTACTGCTTCAAAGTTAACTGGCCAAGCCAAGCCTTGTCAGCTTATTTTGATGGGTTGTTTTAAAGCACAATAACATGCTTAAGAGGCAAGAATTGAGTACATGGCCAAGTTAACATACATAGAAATTTACTGATTCAACTCTAGTACACAATAATGTGAACACTCCATGTATTGCTTGCAAATTCATACCATTTGCCCTATTTAATTTCTTACTTTTTAGTCAAAACTTACATTGTGCCTCATTTGACCTTTTAGTCTAGGATTTCAGAAAGCAAATGAAAACACAGGCTATCTCCCAAAGGTGTGGAAGGAAAAGACCCCACAAGTTTCCATTCTCTTGGTAGAAATAATTCCTTCTTTTGTTATGATGTGAATAAATACAATAATACAGGCTAAGTAATCTGATTAAAGCTGACTGAGTGTGCTGGGTATTCTGTTCTGAGGTTCTGTTAGAGAACTCAATGTAAAGTGGATTTATTTTATGACTAAGTTTATTTTTTTATGGCTCTAAAATTATTTTAGATAAATTTAATTAAATTCAATTGAATTTAATACATTTATTTAAATTTATTTCTTTTATGACTCTAAATACAAAAAAATAAACCATTTTACACAGTATGTTTGACAAATGTTCTTAAGCATTTCAACAATAAACCACTTGGTTATCAACCAGAAATAGGTCACACACAACAGAATATTATGTATTGCTTACTGCTGCCTAGCTACTGACTATTTTACTGAAATACTATGTAATAAAGCATTTCAGCATTGCCATGAACTAAAATTAGACTTTTAGTTCTACTGATTCTTTAGGCTTAAGGCAAGCTTTACAGTAAAAGTGTAATTGTCTTTTCTGAAGTGGTAAAAAACCAAAACCCCAGCCAACCCCTTCACATGATCACAAGAAAGCATTTGTAGAATCTAGCAAATATGTATAAACAGTTTATTTTCTGTTTAGTCTATTTACATTTTGTTTCTATTTATTTACAAATGTGTGTAATAATTTATAACATAAACATTATATTTATTTATATTTTATTGTGTCTGGATGCTGTGAAATCGAAGTCATAAGGGCTCACATTTTGTCATTCCTTATCTGTCAAACATAATTGATGTTCCACTTGTTATCTTACATACCTTTTCAAGATGAAGGATACTTTCTCCCACCTTACTGTCCTCCAATGTTTCAGCATGTTTATCCTCATCTACTTTGTCTGTATTAGCAAATACAGAAGCAACACGGACCACAGGCAGGGGTACATCTCGTGGGACAAATCTTACGGAGCTTACAGGCATAGTCCACAGTTTAATCTTTTTAAAAGATTTTGTCTTTGCAGAATAACGTGACTCACAGACGTAGACATCCTCATCTCTGAAGTTTTCAGGACACAATTTAAAATATTCCTGCAGATTGAAGAAAAAAAAGATGAAATATTTCAGCAACACCCCCCCCCAACAGACACACAGTGAACTCCCTCTCATGCTTCCTGTTTTTTTCCCACATTTCTATCAGAAACACTTTTAGACTAATAAAGCCTTTCTGCTGAGTTCTTTTCTTTCAGTTTGAGATCCAAGTTGTATTAAAAATTGAAAGCAAACAACAAGAAATCCCACCCTTGGAGAAGCAGCTAAATTCAGTACAGGTTATCATCTGAGAAAAGTTAGTTTAGTTTACCAAAACAGTACATTAACAAGTACAAGATCTGCAGCCCAAAACCACTTTTGCAAGATTTCTGAGCTTTGACTTGGAAAGAGGACATGACCATCAAGTTGGGGGTGAGGGGGAAGTAAGCTCCATGCTCATTGATATGTGACTGTGATACCCATTCATGTACTCAGCAGCTGTAGCACTTCTTACTTTCTTCCATACAAACACACTATCTTCTAAAAACTGGCTGAGACAGATATCTTGCAAGCAAGCCAAAAATCCTCAGCACGAGGATGATGCGGAATCAAACTTGAGACAGAGGTGAAAGACTTCATCCTCTTACCAAGCCTTCAAGTCTCCCTCTCTACTAAACCTAAATCTACACACTTTTATGGGAACCTTTAAGAAGTTACCTGCAATTTCTCTACTACATGCTCTGAAAAATCAGTTAGCTAATTATCTAATAGGCATAATGATTCTACAAACCAACCAGCACCAAGAAACACCATGACTTGGATGAGCTACGTATCTCATGAAGCAAATGAAGAATATAAACAGTACACAGGAGCAAGTCCTATTTTATTTAAGTATTAGTAGAATGTCTCTATTAGAATACCTACATCTCTTCAAGAAAAAAGCAGAGAACATATTATTTGCTTAACAAATTAGTCTGAATAGTCTCTCACCTTAACAAACATGACCACGCATTTGCCTAAAATTTTGCTAACAGGAACTTTATTGTAATAGTCACTTTTAAAAACTTCTTTCTCCAAGAATTTTCGTGTTGCAAGATGAAACGTTTCATTTGGTCGATAAAACCAACAGCCGTAGAGCCATTTCTCTCCTTTAAAAAAAAGAAACAAAACCAAAAAAAACCAACCACCCCAAAACCCCCCAAACCACAAAAAAAACCCCAAAACAAAAAAGAGAAGGGAGAAAGAAAGAGAAAAATATGTAAAAAGGTATATTCTCTAGTGCATGAGCAAGAAAAACACAACTATAGATTGACTGATTAATCAAATAGCCATGTAAGTCATTTATACCAAGAGTAAGCTGTTTTAAAACAGGACAAGATTCCTTAACTCTTCCAGGTAAGGAAAACTAGGTGGCTTAAAAAGCCCACAATTCGTTTTTTCCCAGCAGAATAAAGGAGGAATCAGTTCTGTTCAATCTGATGACTTCAGGAAACAGTCTGCAAACTTGTAAGTCTTGACTTTGAGGCCTTGAAATGGCTTCAAACTACACAACAGTTACATGATTATTTGAAGAACCTTGGATAACTGGTTTCAAGTTTTTAAGAGCTATTTCTTCTATGTTATGCTGTGACAAATTCAAATTGTTAACAACGATTTATAAAGAAGGTACAAATATGTACTACATCTCTAAATCAAAGAAAATCTGTAATCTGTAGACTGAACCAGAATAAAAACTGCTATTCACTTTCTCCATCACTGGCTATTATTTGCTGGTTGTTCCCTTTATTATTTGGTTTAGACCTGTTGTACATGGACTTGTCTCACCCATTTTTGAACCTGCTGATATAATCTGCCTCCACAAGCTCCTGGGGAAGCCAGGAGGCTTACTACCCACTATATTAAAAAGCCAAACATTTTCACGTGTTTTAATGTGATTTATTAGTGTCAATGAGTGCCCTCTAACTCTAGTACTGCTGGATTTGTTGAATAGTATTTCTGCATTCACCTTATCTACCCACTTCATGATTTTGCGAACTTTAATTATATCCCGCCTTACATTTCTCCTCTCCAAATTCAAGAGTCATGGTCTTTTAATCTGTCCTTGTAACAGATCCATTCCATCCCTTTAAAAAAAGTGCAACCAAAATGGTTAACTCCATTATACCCCACTGCAGTTCTCAGCAACAGTAGTTTCCAGGATTGCTGAGAATGCACCATGCTTATCTGATACTCTTGCCATATCTCTAGCCTTCCTTACACTTAAGAGTAGTACCTGCTGCAAACAGAAGGCATCACCGATGAGAAAAAACAAAAATAGGCTTGATTTGGCCTAGGAAATGCAAGATTCAGCTCAATTCTGAAACAGAGTTGTTCTGTGGAACATTTGCAGTTAAACATGCTCAACTTCGGTTCAGATTTCTCAGCAAAGAAAAGCCCCATGTGTTCTTCCATGTCTAAATTACAAGGGGCCCATCCCACTTAGAAGAGCCTATTCTCTGGGTTGCTTACAATTTGAGTGTAGGTAGAGATGAACAACAAGGAAAAAAAAAAGCATGTGCTGATCCTAGAATATTTATATTTGTAACATTCTTTGGAACAAAGCAACTCAGAAACAAGAAAAATACTCACCAGTCCACCCATACTTCTGCAAATAAAATAACATCTACACAGAAAAAGCTCAAACTGGAAGTTTTAAATAGTAATAATATTAAGTTTCACCATATTGTTTTCTTATAGCAAAGACATCCTTACCAGCTGAATCTTCCCAGAGCCTCTCAATACAGACTATGTGAGGTTGCAAGTTGGCTTCAGCAGGCTCCACATACACATAATCTCCTACATGGTACATGCTGTTCTTGAAGCTGCAATCCTGGCTGTAGGTCCGATGCAAGCTTGACAGCCCAGCTGATCCAGAAGAATCTTCACTCTTTTCAGCTTCTTATTTCAAGAAAGGAAAAGTAGATGTTAGTAATGCCACATCTCCACATTAGCCAAGATTGCTGATATGAATGCCCTCACACTTTGCTGAGTGCAGAAGTGCCTCATAATACCTGGTGCATCTGTCCCTCTGTCACTGACTTCCAGTGTGAAGGAACGGTTTAAGCATGTTTTGTGCTGCAAGCCTTTCTGCTAGTGGTGCTGCTGAAGGTTGGGTTTTCTTTTTTCAGTTTAATTTTATTGAGCCCTACCAGTGAGTGAAGAGGAACTCAACGACAGCACTGAGCTCACAAGCCTTCAGAAACACTTTTTGCTTTCTTTGGGATTTTTAGGTCTCAAAGGAACACAGAAAAAGGGCATCACAGCTGTTGTCCCCTTAAAATACTGAGCCTGGCTGGAGCAACCAGACTTTACGACATTAGCACATGCTGCTATGTGGGATGATGAACCATGTTAGAAAGAAAATTCAAGGACAAAGGGCTAACAACTCTGCTCCCATCTGTGGAACTGAGCAATTAGAAAGCTTTATTCATTACCCTGGACATCCTCCACAATGATTATGTGGACAGTAACAGACAGGGTGTGAAACACAAAGGAGCTTCACTGTAGGTTTCTTGCCCTACAAAATAGTGCAAGCCCATTCCTTTTCATGCTCACTGTAGCCAAGTACGAAATGCAAAAGGCATATGCAAAAAATACCCTTTCTTTAGGAGTGTTAAAAGCTACATCAGTACATCAAGAAACCAGTATTTGTCAAAAAGGAAACAACTAAAAGTTCAATTGGAGCAGTCATTGTTAAGTTTATTATCAGCAGAAACCTACAGTAAAAGAATATTCTTTTCTTTTATAATATCTTTGAAATAAGACTACTGGTACCCCAGTGTGTTCTGATTGAAGAGTTTACATAGGTTAGTATCTACCTACATCTCTTTCTTAAAGCTGTCTGGCATGGCTGATAAGGATCAAAATAAAATAAATCTCTCATAACTTTAAAATACAAGACCCTTGGTGGACAACCAGACTATTAAGGTCATTTCAGTAGGCGAAGCTGCAGCAACAGCAGAGCATACATTCTATGCATAGGAACATTTTTCAATTAATATATTTAAAATAAATGAAAAGAAAGTAGCTACCTCTCTTCTCCTCCTCTCTTTTGAGCTTATCCTCCTCTATTTCTTTTGGCAGCTTTTCCTTCTTCTCCTTTTCTACATCGTTGTGAAGATGCTTGGTGGTATAGCTGAGAGCGGGTGACAGAAGAATCTCTCCGTTCTTACAAAGTTCATCTCGAATTTTAATGAAGAACTGCTGAAGTTCGACCGCATCCTCATAAATCTCTGAATCAGTCCTGTACATTCAACAGGACAGAAACATAGTTTGTGCAGAGTCAAAAAGGATCCTAAACACACACCCATCAATCGCCACACTCAGTAATAAAACTAAAGCTTCACTCTACCAATAGATTTCTGTGCTTACTCATAACAAGCAGCAGCAGACACTGGCAAGTCATGCTCCACCTGCTACTCTGCTGTCAGTTTGTGTTATAGTTCACCTGAAACAGTATTTTTGTATACACCAGTCCTGAAGTACCAGAAAAAAAAAAAAAAATCAAAAGTAACTTGTTGTAACCAAAACTGCTAGCCACTGGACCTCTACAATCCGTTAACTTCTGAAAACTTAAGTAATAACATTATTATTAACCAAACTAACTTAAATTACCCATATTTCTGTTAGTAAATATTTTAATATCACTTTTACCTCCTTTCCTTCAGAGTCAAGATTTCACCTGCATATCCCCAAGTACTCTACCTAATTCAAGTAAAATACCGCAAGAAGTCACAAGTGTTCATAGTTTTTGCGCAGTATTACCATAACTCATAAAACTGTGATTGCTCCAAAAGAGTAATCTACTAGTCAAGCAGTTAGCAAACAGCTCCTCCTCTTTCTTTTTTCAATTTGAAAGTTAGCACAAACCTGGTTTTCATGAGGTGTGCCTTTGGAAGATTAATATCAAAATTATCTCATGGCAGAAACCTAACTTATCCCTTGTCTTTAAATGAAAGCACACATTCCACTGAAGATCTGATAGAGCTTTTGAGATTTAGTTTTCTAAACACACATATCAAGGAAAGCAAACACCTTAAAAAAACTTCAGCCTTTATCTAACATTAACATGCAAAATTCATGTGATAAGACAAAGGATACCTGAAAAATATGGCTTCGCTCACCTGTTCATTCTCCTTGCCCTCTCCAGTACCTCAAACATATTCTCCTGGAACAAGTCCAACCTTCTATAGCGATTATTTTCAACATTTTTTCGGATAATATCAAAAGTCAGAGGAGGTTTATTTGGGAAGTTGGGATCAACAGCAGCAATCTCAGCTAAGGAGTCGCTGTAGCATCTGCCCTCATCATCCTGATGGCTCATAACAGATACAAAAAGGTTATGGATAAGTTCCTGAATTAGCAAAGTGACATTGGGCACATGAGAATCCTCATCTCCTTCTATTTCTCTCCGAGTTTCAAGCAAAACTTTATGCAGGACCAGAGCATCTTTATAAATCAAAGATTCTGGCTCATTATACGTGCAAGCATTATTGAACATCATTACAAAGTCCTCTACCATGGAATCAATATCCTGGTATTTATTTGCCATCATATGACTTCTGATCTTTTCCATGTCAACGGGCTTTTTAATGGTTACATAATAGTCAGGAAGTTCAGACCGAGATGGCAGCCTCAAGAAGATAGCGCTCAGTCGCCTGCCTCGTTTATCCGTGTAATTCTTAACTGCTTCATACACCTCATTCAATTTCTGTTGCATTGGAGTCATGTATTTCGATTTTTTAGGAGAAATGCCACTTTTTCTACCTAAGCAGACAAAAACGAAAAAAGAAAAAAAAAAAGAAAAAGAAAAAAAATCATTACAAAAACAGAGCCTGCACACTTCTTTGTCCATCTCCTTTCCACTGAGGAATTTCTTATTGAAGAATCTCTTCATAGTATGAACAGAAGACTCACAACATGGAGCCCATTCCAAGTTGCAGCTTCCTTTATTTTTCATAATTGTATTTTTTTTTTAAATGTTATTTTTGGTAAACACAGAATCCTATGTTCCTATGTGGTCCACCTGGTGAAGGTCTCTTCAGACTTAAGCATGAGAAACTTCTCTTCCTACCTAATGTTATTAATAACTCCTCTAAATTCAATTTGGTCTTACTAGCTCTACATTAATTTCTCTCTACATGCATTAAAAATCCAGTCATTACAGGGTTACCACTAAAATTAAGCATTCTAAATATTATCATATTCCTTTATGACAGGTTTATGCCAAATTAGAAATGATTATTACAGATAAAACGTAAAATAAGGACTCCCATGGGATTATCAATCAGATTAGTTTTTTGCTTAATTCAGGATCTCTGTTACTGTACTGTATAGTCTCTATCTGAATTCTCTACTACCTTGTCCTGGTTTTGGCTGGTATAGAGTTAATTTTCTTCCTAGTAACTGACATAGTGCTGTGTTTTGGATTTAGTAGGAGAAGAATGCTGATAACACACTGATGTTTTAGTTGTTGCTAAATACTGCTTATGCTAGTCAAGGACTTTTCAGCTTCCCATGCTCTGCCAGGTACTCAAGAAACTGGGAGGGGGCACAGCCAGAATAGTTGATCCAAACTGGCCAAAGGGCTATTCCATACCATATGACGTCATGCTCAGTATATAAACTGGGGGGAGTTGGCCGGGGGCAGCAATCGCTGCTCAGGAACTGTCTGGGTATCGGTCGACGGGTGGTGAGCAATTGCATTGTGCATCTCTTGCTTTGTATATTGTTATTACTATTATTATTATATTGTTATTATTACCACTACTATTTTACTTTATTTCAATTATTAAACTGTTCTTATCTCAACCCAGGAGTTTTTCTCGCTCTTACTCTTCC